ATTTGTGTTCGTACAATCACCGAAATTCCTCGTTTTCCATGTTACTTTTGGCTGTGATATAAAGTTTATGTTTTTCCATTTGTTTGGGTATGTTAGCTGATTCGGGACAGTTGCTAAATAATTTTTGTCGTGCTTATATGTATTGTTTTGCAAAATTATATTTTATCTATTCAAGAAAACTAAGTTGAGTTTTCCCATGTCAATCACCTTCATGGCTTCTTAGTTTTCTTTCACTGGTGCTGCATCAACCAGAATTTTTAGAGGCTTTCATCCTTAAATTCACGAATTCAATCTACCTTTATTTACCTTGTTAGTTTAGTACTTCTTCACTTCTAACTAAGTGATCCTTCTGTTTGAGCATCATCAATTCATTTGGTTGCATTGAAGACAAAGGATGTGAGAAGAACTCACCGTGTCCGAACTCCAGGATACCTGGAGTTGATTTCAACATCCACAATTGTCGGTCTAGAGAGTTTAATATGGTTGTGGACTGGATTAACTCATTATAGAGCACACATTTTGTCTAAATTCTGTTCTGCATTTCTTTTCTTATTGGTTTTTCCTCTGCTTGGTTATATTAGTATATGGAATTCAGTTCACTTTAAAATTTGCAAACATAGTAACACTTATCTTACTTGTTTTATTTGCAGAATCTGTACAAGACAACTCTATGCCTTGCTTATCAGAGCCTTGGTATTGTTTATGGGGATCTAAGCATATCCCCCATATATGTCTACAAAAGCACTTTCTCAGGTGATCTGCATCTTTATGAGGACGATCATGAGATTCTTGGAGTACTTTCTATCGTTTTCTGGACTTTGACTCTCATCCCCCTTTGCAAGTACATTATATTTGTGTTAGGAGCAGATGACAATGGTGAAGGTACTTACAGTAACCTCAGTTAACTTTAGCATATCTGGGTTTGAGATTATAATTGGTTCATGTTGGACGTTTGAGATTCACTTTTAGTTTTACAGGTGGAACTTTTGCTTTGTATTCATCACTATGCCGGCACTCAAGAATGGGCCTTTTGAACACAGTTCATCCTGCACATGAACGTATATCTTCTTACTGTTCTGAAATACCTACCAAGGATACAAGAATGAGCTTACTCATAAAAGAATTCTTTGAGAAGCATAAGAGTTCTCAAATAGTATTGCTACTTGTAGTTTTCCTAGGAACTGGCATGATAATTGGTGATGGTATCCTTACTCCAACAATGTCTGGTATGATTTCCAAAATTATCTCTCTGGCCTTTCTGATTGACCCTTTCTTCAATTGAACGTGGGAGTATCTTCCAGTTCATGGTTTCTCTCTGCAGTCACTGATGTTGACCTAATGAGGTTTTGTTATATATGCTGGCAGTTCTTTCTGCAGTTTATGGAATCAGAATTAAAGCTCCGGATTTACATGAGAGTAAGTGAATCACAAATAGATAAATAAAATGTTCTTTGTGTGATTCTTTCGACATCATGGGTGTCAATATGAAAATTTAAATCTTGTATAAGGATTTTTGCATCGGCAATACATGGAGTTGAGTTGAGGTGAATGAATATTGCGCAGCATTACTTATTGTCTGATATCATGCAATATAATTTTCACTCAATTTTTATGGAGAACTACCTTTTCTAATTGCATTTTATGTTCATACATGGCAGATTATACTGTGTTCATAGCTTGCATCATCTTGGTCGGGCTTTTTGCTCTTCAGCATTATGGGACACACAAAGTTGGGTTTCTTTTTGCTCCAATCATGTTAATATGGCTGCTATGCATTTCTGGGGTAGGCATGTACAATATCTTCCGCTGGAACCCTCGTGTTATAGGTGCTCTGTCACCCTACTATATTTATAACTTCTTTAGAAAAACTGGAAGAATTGGGTGGAGTTCCCTTGGAGGTGTTGTTCTTTGTCTGACAGGTTGGTTGATAGGAAAAAGGTTCTCTGTCGCCCTACTATATTTATTTCTAAGGCTAAAATAATATTTGTCTATGACAGGTACAGAAGCAATGTTTGCTGATCTTGGGCATTTTTCCAAACTCTCTATCCGGGTAGCTTATTCGCATATCTTAATTTGACTCTTTGAAGCATAAAACTGCTTAATAGTTGTTTAGTTGTCTTTTAAGGATTTTTGGTTGATGGACAATTTTCTCTTGCTTGTTTCTAGCGGTACCACCACATGTATAGCTGTTTTTCTTCGTTCTAGCCATTTATTTATGACTTTTTTTTTTCTTTTTTCTGGCAGATTGCATTTACAGGCCTTGTTTATCCTTGCTTAGTCCTGGCATACATGGGAGAAGCTGCTTATCTCTCCAAGAACAAAATGGATATTAGTAGCAGTTTTTACAAGGCCATCCCTGGTAAAGCTTGATTAATATATCTTTCTGGTGTAATGCACCAGCTAGTTGTTTTAATGAAAAGCCATTCTTCTTATTAGGGAACTAAATTTCAATTCTCAAAAGCAATGATTTCGACAAGTTTAGCTTCCACTTCCAATTTAAGGCATGTCATTATTCTTGGGTATAGCAGGCTTTAAAGTATTGGGCGATTATTTTTAATATCCATTATATCATTAGCTTTTTTACTGTGTAGTAAACCTTTATTGTAGCTTCTGAATCTTTAGAAGTGTCAATCTGTGTGCATTGTTGTACCAGTTTTGGATTTCATCTGATCTCTTTTTGCTATTCAGAGGTTATGTTTTGGCCGGTACTTATTATCGCAACTCTTGCTTCTGTGGTGGGAAGTCAAGCAATAATTTCAGCTACCTTCTCAATAGTCAGTCAGTGCAGGGCACTGAGGTGCTTCCCACGTGTGAAGATCAAACATACATCAAATCAGATACATGGGCAGATATACATACCTGAGGTGAATTGGATGTTGATGATGTCATGTCTTGCTGTGGTTATTGGATTCAGAGACACTCGTATGATAGGCAACGCATATGGTTTGTACTCTCTCTCTCTCTCTCTCTCTCTCTCTCTCTGCAGTTTTGCGTTTCTGAAATAAGCATTTTTACGCCATGTTGCATGTTCAGGGCTTGCTGGAGTGACAGTGATGTTCATCACAACCTGCTTGATGTTTTTAATTATTAGCACGGTTTGGAAGAAAAATGTTCTTCTGGCAGTCTTGTTTTTCGTAGTCTTCGGATCTCTAGAACTACTCTATATTTCTGCCTGTCTTGGTAAAGTACATCATGGAGGCTGGCTTCCCCTTCTATTCGCTCTTGTAATCGTGTCTTTGATGTCTATCTGGAATTATGGGACCATGAAGAAAGATGCATTTGAGCTGGAAAACAAGGTATCATTGGACAGGCTTCTAAGCCTTGGGCCAAGCCTAGGTATAGCAAGGGTCCCTGGAATCTGCCTACTTTACTCTAATGTTGCCTTTGGTCTACCTCCAATGTTTGCACATTTTGTCACAAACTTCCCTGCATTTCATCATACTCTCATCTTTGTGACCCTTAAGTCTTTGATGGTTCCAAAAGTTCCAGTTGTTGAGCGTTTTCATGTAAACCGAATTGGCCCACCAGAGTTATCCATTTTCCGGTGTATTGTAAGGTACTTTCCATAAAGTTTTTGTGGTATGAAGCTGAACTTCATCATGTTTTGCATGAAACTGAATTTTGATTCTTAAATATTCTGAATCAAGAATAGTTCTTGAAATTCTTTAATGCTGTTATGAATCAGGTATGGATACAAGGAAGTGAGAGATTGCTACAACTTTGAAACCCAACTGATTGAAAAGGTGGCAGAGTTTTTGAAACAGGAGAGTACTATTGAAGACATGACAGTTAGAGGGCAGTCACCAAACCATATATCTGCTGCAGTGGGAAACGAGGTTTGTCATGACATTGCTGAGCAGCGGAGGAAGGAGGTTAGTGGGGGCAGTGGTGAGCAGTGGAGTAACACAGGGTTTCAAAGTTTGGGATCCTGTCAGGAAATGAAGAAACTGATGGAGGCACGGGAAGCTGGTGGCGTGGCCTACATGATGGGCAATCCTTATATTGTGGCAAGTGGGGTATCACCATTCCTGAAGAAGTTTGCCATTAACATTGTCTATGGTTTTCTGAGACGGAATTGCAGGCGTCCAGCAATTGCACTTGGAGTTCCACATACCTCACTGCTTGAAGTGGGAATGTTTTATCAGGTGTAACTATAGCATGTAGTAAATAAACTCAGAGGTAAGAAAGGAGGTTGACAGAGAAAAGTTCTTTTCTTTACCAGGCTTTTTATTTGATGAAATAGAAATGCAGTTGATATGGGGCATTGACAGGATGTTTATGGTTAGGAAATATAGGGAAAAATGTGCTTAGCTGTGTATATGCAAGTTGTAATCTGATCATAGGAAACTTAAAATGAAGTGCTAACAGCCAACACTCTTATGTACTTCACGAGATATATATAATAAAGAAGAAAAATGTTTTGGCAAAAAACTCATGTACATGGTGTTTTCCTTTTGTAACTTATTTACACTAACCTTCTCCATGTTCCATTGGTTTATAAGAGGAAGAACTTAATGATACATTTTCTCAGGCATATAAGTCCCCGACTCCCCAACCCGGGTGTTGGGACCCGAGACCTACACTTTGATTCTAAACTTGGCAGCTAGGACCCTGTTGAAGAATATGAAGTCCCACAAGTTTGATTCTAAACTCAGATTCAAATTTTCAAACCAAACAAACTCCTTTTCTCATTCCAGTCCATTCCACAACCAAACACCCACCTTAGAGTTTGCGTATGAAAATTGGACACCCAATTGAGGATTGATGATAATAAATTTGGTAATATAAAAATTGACAAATAACCATATAAATATGGTATTATATTGTATGGCTATGGAGCTGCAACATATCCTAGTTAACTTGAAACTTAATTTGATAGCCTAAGGTCCAACTGCCTGGTGATGAGAAGTCAATTGTGTGACCACAAATCACTCCCTTAAATCAATGCCTTATAGGGGCAGCCTCACACTTGTTGCCTGTCAACTTTTGGGGTTTGCGTTTCGTTAACAAATTATATAACATCTTCCACTATATCAACCTTAGTGCACAGAACATATTTTCTCAGGCATTTCTCTCTCTCCCCTTCTCCAAGCAAAAGGTAGGCTCTATGTATTATTTCTCTTTAGCTGCCTATAGCATTTTCTTCAATGCATCTAGATATCTACTTATTCTTGCTGTAATTCTTTTGGCTTCACTTTATGTGTTCTTGGCCATAGAGAAAGCCAAAATCTTTCATGAACTGGCAGCTTTGGCTTGTAAGCAAGAAGGCAGGAACTTGGTTCGTCTGCAGTTTCAGGAGACCTCTGCATATAATCATTCAAATCGCTCATATTACAATGATTTTCGAGACCGGTGAGATGATATTGATTAGAAGATCTAAAATCGTCATGTCAACCATGAAATCTTATGTAACAATCATGCACAAGTAAATTGTATTTCTTTTGGGGGCTTCAGTTAGTAAAATTATTGTCGGTTCCAAAAGGAAAATATTGTATACCAATTATAATATATGATTTGCTTAATACATCTCTATTCTGGGCTCCACTTCAAACCCATTTGCTAGATTTGATTGGGAACTTGCAGTTTTGGAATTTGTCATTATAGAAGGCCCCATACTTTTGAGACTGGCTTTATGGACCTCACCAATGGGTCACTATTTGGTGTGGGTTGTCCCAGGTGAGCCACTAGAGTCTATCTCTGGTGAGTATCATTTTACTACCGGCATGATCAAAGTTTGACTTCAATCATACCATTTCTTGGGTTGAAACAAATAAAAACCTTTGCTACATGAGCAATATGGCATACCTGCGAACGCCTTATTCTCAACTGAAGAGATTTTTGGGTGTTATTGGTTATACACGCTCTTTAATAAGTCACGTGATGAGAGAGATAGATTCACAGATACATACAAAAATTATCGTTAATTGTGGTAAAAGAGATATTTTGGAACCCCAATGAAGTAATCTGTTGACATATCATTTAACAACTTTCAATGGTTAGATAGATGGGAGATATTTTAATACCAAAACAATTTTGTCAAGGAGAGAATCTAAGTACTCAGCATGACTAATGAATTTTCCATGGCTCCTTATTTAAAATGAAAATTTTCTTTATTTTCAGACAAAATTTTATGATCATATCAAGCTACTTGTATTTAAGTTTTCACAACATGAATGTTATTCGAGATAACCTTAAAAAAAAATAAAAAATAAAAAATAACATGCAAAGAATATTAGGGCACTTATTTAATTCATAATGACCGTTGGAGCTTGCCACTCCAAGGGGACAAACATGGAATTTCAGACGTCATATGTCTGATAATCGGAAAAATTCCTAGCCGTTACAACAGCTCGCGATCTCGTGAATACCTGCATACTCTAGGGGCAATTTTGGAATACAGCATTCAAATTATTCAAAGTTCGACCGTTATAAGACTAGAAAACCTCGCGACCGTTTCAAAAAAAACACAACTCAGCCCCAACTCTCACTCTCTTTATCTATACAAATCCATGGCCGACGAGAACGCAAACCAGTCAATCATGGAGCCAAAATCATGGCACCCTCTTCACCAAATCGCAGAGTCTCCAAGCCACAAGCTTCTGCTTAAGCAATGGCTGAAAGAAGAAGAGCTAATCCTCAACAGGGTCTCCCTGAAAGAGAACCAAATCGACTCCATTCGCAAAGAGATCACAATGCTCTTCATATTCTTCTTCCTCTTCCACTCCACAGCTCTCATCCTTCTCTTCAGTTCCTCCTCGAGGGACCCACATGGGTTCGCGTGCCGCCGGTCTTGGATCCCGTCACTCTGTTCTCTCTGCTTCTCTCTGGGGATCATTTGGGCCATAAGGTACAAGACTGACATGGAAGGTCACTTGGAGAAGCTTCTGGAGAGAGAAAAAGAGGATAAAAATCTTCTTGGTAAGTGCATCGAGGAGTTGAAGAAGAAGGGTTTGGAATTTGATTTGTTGAAGGAAGTTGATGCACTTAGGAGGGCCAAGAGTTTGAGAGTTGAAGCTAAAGAGGTGAGGAAGTGGTCTGCTAGGGACTTTGTAACTTTGTTTTTCTTCACAGTGTCTTGCTTTGTGCTTGTTATCACAAGGGCTATTTTGTGTAACTAGGAGTTTGACAAATGGGGTAGATTTTGGGATTGGATTGGTTGGTTCTTAGATTCATGTTCTATTTTGGGTTGGATGGGTTTTGCCAGAAGATTTTGGATTCTGTCAAAGAATTGGTGGTGGGATAAATTGGAAGCAAAATGACTGCAGAATGTTTTGTTCTGCTTATTTGTAATTTGGGGAATTTACAATGACGTAGTTATGAAGCAAATTTGGATGACTGCTTATGTTGTTGGCCTTGGCATGTTCGTTATAAATTGTTTGTTGTTCTTGGATTCATTATAAGCTTACTGTGATTGACGATCATTAATTAGTTTGATCCCATTTTAAAATTAACCTCAATGCTTTAAAAGAGGCAAAATGCCTCAGCAAACACTTCAAGTTTGATGGCCAACAAGTCAAACAAGTTGAAGCATCACATCTGGTCTATTTTTTTTTTTTATTGGAACCTGCGAGGAGAAAATTATTAAAAAGAAGAAGTAAACAACAGGGATAACTTACCAAACTCAACAAAACCAACTCCAAGGATGGGATCAAACTAAACACACAAAATCAACGAAAGCGAAACATGGAAAAACTCACTAAATCTTTACCATAAGCGGTAGAGCCCACGAAGGTAAGGAATCCCACCAGTAATAGGCAGGATTATCATCACCAAAATTTGTTAACATATATGCGACACAATTACCTTCCCATAAATATGAGTGCAAACAAAATTCATCTGCACAGGGAAGCCCAAATCTTAATTCATTGCAATGCAATCAAAAATCACCACAGATCCAAGGATGAATATGAGGCTTCCAAATAAGAGCACAACTCAATGGAAACCTTGAGAGAAACCAAACTTTGCCCAAATTGATAAGCAAGTGAATCAATCGGTACTTAACCATTACGTTCTAGCTAGTACCCAATTGAAATATAGATGAATAAGTCCCAAAGGCACCTGCTAAAGTTCCAAATACAATTAGTCCTACTATGCCTAATAGCTTGTACTTCCAGCTCCTATAGCAAATTCTGCAATAGATGAATAAGTCCCTAAGACACCTGCTAAAGCTCCAAATACAATTAGTCCTACAATGCCTAATAGTTCGCAGTTCCAGCTCCTATAGCAAGCAGAAAGCTTGAGATAGCACATGCATGGGATAATGAACGAAACCGAAACAGTAAATATTGAGCCGACAATCGCCGTGAGGGTCTCATAGTAGGGGAAGACATAGGCTATCATAGTGGAGATGACCAGTAATGCCATCCGTATAAGCAGTTTAACAGGTCTCCAATTTTTGTAGTCTTTCTGAAAGTCCACTTTCAATGGCATCAGCTACTGGGGTTACTATCGCGGCGATTGTCGGCTCAATATACCACCAGCTACTGGGGTTGCAATATGCAACGGCAGGGTGCCCAAGCCACAAGGATTAGTTATGGCTGTTGGGTTTTCTTTTTTCCTTTTTCCTGAATTTTTAGTTTTCTATTTTAATTTTATTAGAAGTTAACTCTGTTATATGAGGAGTTGAGTAAATGGACAGGCGTCATGCAATTATATAGGGGACAGAGAGGGGATAGGTAAAATGGGGACCGAATGGCTTCTAGCCTAGCCCATCATCAATTATTGCTTAATGGGGTTGCTTTTTCCTTTTTCATTTTTCATACAAATGATATTCAAACGTAGCACCTCGGGTGTAAAGGTAAATACTTTTAATCACTTGAGTTACAAGCCTTGTTAGAGTTAGCTTTGTTTTTAGGAAGAGTTCTCTTTTGCTAGACTGTATACTTTGGTTTTAGCCTGAACTTTTCCAAGTTTACTTTTGTACTTGCTGGGATCAGTTCATTCAGCTTGAAAGCAGCCAATCCTAATTGGAGAGTATGGTATTTTCTTTGCTGAATGCTGCATCTGCAATCTACTCAAATCCCAAAAGGAAACTAACCATTTCAGAGTAGTTGAATTAGGAGGAAAAGACAGAGAGACCAATAATGGTAACCATATTCAAGCAATGGGAAACACGTAGGCACAAGGTATACAAGCCTCTGTCTGGTCCAGACTAGGGTTTGTAGTTTATGTTCTCTGTGTATCTTCCTTGAATTCACCTCATTGATTGCTTGGAAAAGCCATTAATATTTACAGGGTTTTGATGGAAATACCCATTTAATGCGGTATTTTAGGTGGATGAGATATTTGATGAAAATACATATTTAAAGTTGATCACGTGATGAAATTTTATTAGATGAAGGACCACATTGATTTATTTGAGAATTTTGAAAACTAAAATAAAAACTTTGAAAAAATTCACGGACACTAGTGATAAAAACCCACATTTATAATAAATAAATAATGCGGTTCAGAAACCAGAAATCAAAGATACTTTTGAATTGAGATGATGAGAAACTAATTGTATATTCTCATAAGTCAAGAAATCTCATCTTTATCCACCACCCACCAGGTTCATGGTCATCTGATGAGACCATGCTAGATTGCGAGCTCATTATTCATGTAAGCCGTGTGATGGATTATTGTAGTGTGATATATTATATTTTCAATGCTAAAATGTGTAAGTGTGACAATTTCTTGGTAGATTGAAGTTCAATACAATTATTCAATACTCTTGAACAAGTTCTGCAATCGATGAGTAAGTCCCTAAGACACCTACTAAAGTTCCAAATGCAATTATTCCTACACTGCCTAATAGCTTGTAGTTCCAGCTCCTATAGCAAGCAGAAAGCTTGAGATAGCACATGCAGGGGAGAACGAAGGAAACCGAAACAGTAAATAGCGAGCCGACAATCGCCATGAGGGTCTCATAGTAGGGGAAAACATAGGCTACCGCTGTGGAGCTGACTAGCAATGCCATCCTTATAAGCAGTTTAACAGATCTCCAATTCTTGTAATCTTCTGAAAGTCCACCTTCAATGGCATTAGCTACGGGGGTTACCATCAACGCATATCTCGCGATTGGAATAAGTAGAATGGTGTATATTGCAACTCTTGCACTCACTTCTGTTGTTGGTAGATTCAAAGTGATCTGCGATTCGACACCATCTCCATACATGAGATAGCCCGTGACTGCGGTTACCATGCAAGTGATGGTTATGAGTAGAAAGCTAAAGAACACAACCTGCATATCAATCAACAAAGGATTAGGTTATTAAAAGTAATTGAAGTAAAATGCCTATCATATCATCAAATCTTTATGCGCACTACATTAACATTCGTCTAACAAAAGAACATTACACTATATAGGCCGATTTTAAAGTAGACATACGCAAATTTTGCAAAGACTTCCACAGTCCTTTTGTTTGGCTCAATGGGGTTCTGTTCTAGTTTTGAAATCGAAGGATGGCTCAAAATCAAACCCTCATCGCACTAATCACCAACTGGACTTTGGATTAACTACCGAAACCCCTTCCATGCCCATAAATTTTGCGAATTCCTTATCTTTACATCCATATACATACATAACACATACATATTTTTAATCTCTGTTTCATACTGGAAATTATTTTGTCTATATCCTGCATACCTTGCTGAACTGATTTTTATCTCGCATAGAAATGTATATTGAAGGGATGATTGCATGTCCTGCAAAGCAAAAAATATACAAGCTCACAGCGGTGGGAAGGCCCCCCGCATTTAACAAGTCTCCACTGGCATGATACCCAACACCTCCAAATGCACCAACACACACAATGGAGCCAACAATGATAAGGCAACAGAACACCCCAGTGGCCGAAACATAGGACAATATACTCATCTCAGTGATCAGCATTGTGGGCAAGATGATCAAAGCTGTAACTAACACAAATGACTGTCTACCACAGATTAACAACGACCCGAGCTTGATCCCGAATTTCGGAAACAGCTTATACAAGCTATCACTTTCTAATATTATGAGGCCTACGGCAACCAGATACAATTCTGTGCTCAAAATAATTAAGACTATGATTCTGGCCGTTTTACCAAAGGCACGCTCAGCAATGTCAAGGTAGCTCGTAATTGATGGATCAGAATCCATGCATTTCTTTAGCAAGATGGCTGTGTAGAAGGTGATAATGGAAATTAGAAACAAGAGCACCAAGCTTAGCCACCCTCCCCTTGAGAGGGCATAAGGAAGTGTTACAAGACCAGCACCTGAAAAATTAATCAAACAAGGGTAAATAAATTGTAATAGTCCCCCAAAATAGAAACACAATAACATGAGAGTGAAACAAATTTAAATAAACTACTCACCCAGGAAAGCATTTGTTCCATTAAAGCAAGCTTTCAAGAAGCTGGATCCTCTGCTTTGAGTTAGTGGAGTTCTTAACTCATTTGACATGGTTTCTTATGTTGGAGAGAGAGAGTATCTCGGAGGCCATAACTTCTGAAATTATGAGTGTATATATGTATATATAGGGCTTCTATTGAGAGATCCTTTAAATAAGCTTATTTGAGAGACACTCTTGTAGAGCCCATTTAGCATTGTATTTTACTAATTCAAACCGTCTATTTTGTAGATATTCATACAAAGATCATCTCTACAAAAAATTACTTGAATCTGATATCATTTGACTACTCAATTGAATTATTGAAATTTTAGTACTTTTTTGAAGCACCGTGTTCATTGATTTTGTATGACACAATTAGATATCGAAACGGTTTCTGATTTGTCTAATTTTTTACAAGGATGATCTATGAATGCAGACTTAAAAAATAGATAATTTGGATCGTTGAAAAAATATTTGTAAGGGAAATTATGATAAATTGATAATGTTGATGCTTATGTATAGCTTCAGTAGTGATTAATTTTGGGATTTCTGGGAACATGATCAATAATAAGTTTATTGCATTTGTTGGACTAGCTACCCTAGCTTAAATGGCTTATCACTGTCTACCTAAATTTATCATCATATGCATAAATACAGTGGGCCTTGGACTGTTGTCTCAATGTCTATGTCATGTCCAGCTGGGTGTCCATGCATATGCATGATGCATCACATTCACGTGTGCCCTAATAACTCATATGGAATCTCTGTCTTGTCCAGACCAGGGTTTATTGCCCTTGTCTTGTACTGTGTTTATAGCTCTCTTTGTTTCGTCCTTGATTTCACCTTCAATGATTGCTTGGAAAAAGTCATTAGTATTAATAATAAGCCACATAAACAATGCGGTTCAGAAACAAGACATTCCTTTCGTTTTTTTTTAGGAAATTTGGAAAATTGGCCGTTGCTGTCCCCAAAATGTCTTTTTGATTCTTGGAGCTTTCTCCATATCTACCAAAAAGGGATATGCTGGAATTTTGAAGGATGACCCCCGTAGGGATCTCTCTCTTGTGAATTTGAAAGTGCCTCTTATTCTGTTGATTTTTAGAAGAAAATGCAAAGCTCCAATTTATCTTAGCAATAGAAAAGGTTCCAAACATCACAATCAATCTAAGAAAAAGTCCAACCAAAAAACATAAAGAATAAGATATAAAGACAATAAATAAGAAATTTGTTTTACACATAATTACATATAGGAACAAGAATTAAAAATTATGTGTATATACATTCCTCCCTCTCCCAAGAAAAACAATAAAAAGAGAAACGCAATCACTAGAGCTGTACCTCTTTATTCAAGTCCATCAAAATTCTCACCTGCCATTGCTAACAGTATTGTAAATTATGGGTTGAGTGGCCTTTGCAGGTAATTGACTTGTATCCCCCACCACGGTTGTGCTTGCCGATGAGTTGTAAACGCTAGAATCAGTTCCTTTAGTTGACATATCGATAGTCGTACTGTTTATACCACTTATGTCATCAAATTTCCAGTCAGTCAAGTAACCAGGCTTTGAGGTTACAGTCGCCACTTCGATATCTCCTGAAAGCATTCCCACCACACGGGACATCGATGGTCGTAGCAATGGTGATGCTTGAGTGCACAAAAATGCTATAGCAATTACTCGTTTTACTTCTTCCTCGTTGAATTCGGATAATCTGGAGTCCACTAGTTCAACTTCACGTTTGGTTTCATGCAAGTACCAAGCCTAAGAAGTAAGACCATGAAAGTGCATTAAGAAATGGAGTGAGCTGTATTGGTCCAAAAAGTGTTAGAAGTGACAATTTCTTACCCATTCAAGAAGATAAATCTTTTCTTCATCCAAACTCGGGTCAGAATTTGGCCTACCACTGACAGTTTCTAGAGCCACAACACCAAATGCAAAGACATCACTCTTCTCTGTAAGGTGTCCACGCATGGCATATTCTGGGGCAAGATACCCACTGCATCATTGACAATAATGTGTACTACTTGTCAACATAACATATTTATAAGACAACAGGAAATGAAGAGCTATATTTGAAAACATAAGTAAGGTAACTGAATCTTTAAGAGCTAAGAGCTTACATTGTTCCTGCAACCCGGGTACTGATGTGGGTCTTTTTATCATCATAAAGCTTGGCTAAACCAAAATCTGATATTTTGGGGATGAGATTAGAGTCAAGCAGGATATTACTGGCCTTCACATCTCTGTGCACAATCCGAACCCTTGATTCCTCATGAAGATAAGTTAAACCTCTTGCGACGCCCAAGCATATGTCAAAACGTGTTGACCAATCAAGATTCAAACTTCTTTTTCCTGCTTCATACAAGACATTATTATAAATCTTTATAATCTTTTATATTCTACATGAAACAGTAATAATGTTATTCTCATACCAAATAATGCTTGATCAAGACTGTTGTTCTCTAGATACTCATAAACAAGGAGTCGCTTATCTCCCTCAACGCAGAATCCGTACAAATCCACTAGGTTATTGTGTTGCACAGCAGAGATAGTGGCAATCTCAGTTACAAACTGGTTCTTTCCTTGATGGGATGCTGCAGACAATTGCTTCACAGCAATTACTCTTCCATCATTAAGTGTTCCCTGTTTACAAAATTCATTAATGTTTAGAGAAAATAATATATTATCAAAATCCTTGAGTGAAAATGAAACTTCAGCAGCTAATGAGTTTGATGGTTTGGACAGGCATACACACTTCTACATATAAGGTTAATTTCTTTCACTGGAATTGCAACGGCTGGCATCTTACCAATCACGACACATGGTCTCATGGTAAGAAGTACACTGCTGCCAGTGCCAGCCCATAAAAAGTATGGCGACCATTTTTAACAGGGACATAAGAAGAAAATTTTAGAAAAACAAAATCAGAAAAGACGATGAAAACGTATGATGCTTCAAGAGGCTATGGTTTACATCCAGGCACATGTGATAGTGTGATAGACGTCACAGTTCTATGCTTGTATCAATTAGTAAAAACTGAGGCACTAACATGGGTGCAGCCACATGTCGTTTAGAATAATAACTTACCTTATAGACAGGTCCAAATCCTCCCTCCCCAAGCTTATTAGCTGGATTAAAGTCATTTGTAGCTGACTTCAGTTCCGAAAAGCTGAAAGTGAGTGGCCCGATATCTATCCCTAACAGCTCTGCAAATTTAGCATAACAACTGTTATATTTGTGAGCCTGTTTATCCAGCAATAAGTTTGCTTCTTTTTGCATTTTTTTTTCAAGTTTGCATCTGCTTTAGTGGCTTATAAGCTTTACAGCAAGGAACATGTAAAAGGGATTTACTTATAAACACTCATGGATATTTTTTCATTAATGTTTTTTGGAACATGTGAGGGGCCACCCAAAAATGCAGCTCATTCTTTGTCAAGTATGGGAAGCGCAGATGGCTTGCCCAACGACAATATTGAATCACATTTAGAAGACAAGAGTTAGAGTTTAAATTTTTTAACTACAAAGTGATAGACCAAAGGATGCTCTAATACCAATTGATGCCTAAAGTAGAATATATTTTCTCTCTTGCATCAATTATATATATATATATATATATATATTGTATAATGATCATATGAATGACTAAGGGAAAATCAGTTTCTACACAATCGTCAGACACCTTTTGAGAAGTCAAACTTGCATTGATAAACCATAGAAGTAACAATTTACCTTCATCGTCCATTGTGTTAGTCCTTTTTCTTCTTTGGAAAATATAGAAAGTGGCCATCATCAGAATTAAAACTCCACCACCAACAACAATTCCTACAATCAGCCCAGTCCTATTCTTCTTACTAGTTGGGGGGTTGTTACTGACAGTAGGTATGAAATCTGTAGAAAAACTCTGTAGTCAACAGCATGGCACCACTTTGGGAAAACATTAGAAGCTAAATTCCTAAATCTTATCTGAAATTTGAATATCATATTACCTGGTGTAGCACTGATGGCTGAAATAACAGGTCCATATGTACCCTGCCCAGGTATGCAGCAAGTCCCCTTTCCAGCCCAAAAGAGATGAATTTCTAGGTAGTTCTCTGAAACATGAGCCGTGTACTCCTTCTGTACGGCTTGGAAAGATGCACCTGCCTCCTTCCGTATATCAAAATCCTTTAGAAACAGGTTTCCCTGAAAACAGAGAGAGAGAGAGAGAGAGAGAGATGAAACGGGGTTATTAAATTTGTTATACACACTTAAAGTAATTGCTTCGGTTAAAATGTTTTCTTTGAAACCATGAGTCATGACCAAATAATTTTCAACTTTATGAATTCAAACATGCAAAAAGTTTCCTTGAGATGATACAGACCTGGATATAAATATCAAATACACGTCTTCCAAGACTTTTCCATGTAGTAGAATCTAGGATAGCTGTTTCTGCAAATTCAAGGGTCACAGTGTAGTTACCGTTCTCAAGCCCCAAGCCATAGTATCTAAGTGATGAAGCTGAAAGCCTTGCAGTCTGGAATATCTCAGAATCTAAAGTATTTTTGAATTGAGATGAGGAGAAACTTGTATATTGAGGATTGTTGGTCGCAGTGAAATATCCAACATTGCTAACTCCCCATCTGTTTGTGCCAGTCACAAAATATGTAGCTGGACCAAGGGTCTGATTTTCATTCTCATACACAATGCCATTGGAAGATGTAATCTGAGGACCACCACATTTAATCCCCAAGTTATAATCTGCATAAAGATACAAAAGAGGTACATATCACAGTATGTTCAGATTCAGGCAATAAAAGGATAATAGTTTGTACAGACATACTTATTCTCCATGTAAATCACAAACTTAAAAACAAAATATAAGTTAACAAACGACACTACCCAATGTCGGTCATACACCCGATTGGATCCTCAGAAAGATCTGATTCAGTCCTAATTCTTCTAACATTTTTACATAATTGGGCATTCTTAAGAATCAGATTTCACAGAGCAACGCTGCTGGCATGACGAGAAAATTGCCTCAAAAAATTAGAATGGGACTAAATATTGCGCCCTATGATTTATTTCGCTATTAATTT